ATAGTATGGCACAGTTTTGTTGCAACCTTGGTGCCTGCCAGAGTAATCAACATTACCACTGATCAAGATTCTCTTATTGCCTTAAAAGAGCACATCACTAGAAACCCTCAAAACCTGTTGACCACCAACTGGAATACTACTACCTCCGTTTGCAACTGGGTTGGTGTCACTTGTGGAACTCGCCACCGTAGGGTCAGAGCGTTGAATCTCTCTCACCTGGGTCTTACAGGCACCATCCCTCGGCATTTGGGAAACCTGTCGTTCCTAGTTTCGGCGTCATTCTATAACAATAGTTTCCATGGTTCTCTACCTGGTGAGCTGGCAAAGTTACGCAGGCTAAAATACTTCAGCATACAAAAGAACAACTTCGGTGGGGAGATTCCATCATGGTTTGGGTCCTTTACCAAGCTCCAAATATTGTCTATAGCTGATAACAATTTCACTGGTGTGATTCCACCATCATTGTTCCACCTCTCAGAGCTAGAGGGCTTGGACTTGTCCAGCAATGATCTTCAAGGGCACATTCCAGGAGTGATCGGTAATCTCCCCAAGTTGAGGATACTGTATCTGACTCATAATGGCCTTTCAGGTTCCATTCCCTCTGCATTCTTCAACATTTCTTCATTGCAGATTACTGATCTCAGTGGCAACATGCTCTCAGGTTCCTTGCCCTCCGCTATCGTCAACATGTCCTCGCTTCGGATACTCGACTTTGGTTTTAATAATCTAACTGGTCGCCTGCCATCAAATTTGTTCAACAATCTTCCCAATTTGGAAGCATTGCACTTGAACCATAACCTATTTCACGGCCAAATTCCTGCAGCTTTATTCGGATGCAAACAACTGAAAATTCTGTCTTTGTCTTATAACAATTTTGAAGGAAAGATACATAAAGATATCAGAAATTTGACAGTTCTTGAACGGCTATATCTTGGCTACAACAACTTCAGTGGTAAGAACTCCTCTCTATTGGCCTTACAATGGAAATGATATGGACACCACCTTAATCAGAATTTTGCATACACTATATAATTCCCCTTGTGTCCCAAGAAACTGATATTGAACCCGTTGCAGCTACTAATCTTAGTCCTGGAATTTTGAACTGCTAAAGTTTAGTTATTTGTTTGAAAATGTTACCAAATTGAGATATTTTAGCCTTTCTATCGCCAAGTATTCAGGACACTCACTTCACAAAGGAGAAGGGTAGAAGGACATGATTTTAAGTTCTGCTCTTTAGCCTCACCCCCCAAAAGAACCAAAAAGAAAAGCACAATTTTTTTTTTTTTTTTAAACTTCTACAAAAATGTAGAGGATTAAATAGAAATTTTATGTTGCAGATGCAGAAATGTTATCGTCCATCAGCGATCTTCTTAGTTTGGAGTTATTAAACCTGCAAACGAGTGGGCTAACTGGTCCAATTCCCTCTGCTATCGGAAATCTGACCCAGCTATCGCATCTTGACCTATCGGAAAACAACCTGACAGGTATGGTATTCTTCTTTCTATTTATGTTATGATCATCACTTTTTCACCAATATCACCATAGTATAACTCCAAGTGACTTTATGATTAAATGTGTTTGAATTGTTGCAGGAACAATTCCACCTGAGATTGGTAACCTTGTGAATCTAGAGGTAATCACTTTGTCAGTTAACGGTATTGGCGGCGCTATTCCCTTCAGAATCTTTAATGTCTCAACATTGAAAGCTATCCAAATGACAGGCAATCATCTGTCAGGCCATCTTCCATCAAGCATAGGTCTCCAGCTTCCAAATCTTGAGCGACTTCTCGTAGGAGAAAACAAACTCAGTGGTCCATTCCCTGTCTCTCTCTCCAATGCTTCTAAACTCATTTCAATAGAATTGTCTTCTAACTCTTTCTTTGGCCCTATTCCTGATGCATTTGGTGATCAATTGAGAAACCTAAGATATCTCAATCTGGGGGTAATAATTTTACCATCAACTCTCTGTCTTCAGAGTTGAGTTTCTTATCATCTTTGACAAATTCCAAGAATTTCAGACAATTGATCCTGACCTCTAATCCATTGAAGGGCACTCTTCCTATTTCAGTAGGAAACCTCTCGTCTTCCCTTGAATTCTTTGTTGCTGATAGTTGCCAGATTAAGGGCAACATACCCAGAGGAATTGGCAACTTGAGAAACTTGGCACTTTTGAGTCTACAAGACAATGAACTTAAAGGAACCGTTCCAACTACAATTGGAAAATTAACGAAGCTTCAATCTTTATCACTTGCAGTTAATAATTTAGAAGGATCCATCCCATCTGAATTGTGTGATGTAGATAGATTGGCATACCTATATCTTGGGGGGAATAAGCTAGTTGGATCAATTCCTTCATGCTTAGGCAATGTCATTTCTCTAAGAGACTTCTCATTGGGCTTCAACAATCTTACATCCACAATACCTTCAACCTTGTGGAGACTAAAAGATATCCAGCAACTAGAGTTGTCATCGAATTCTCTAAGTGGCTCTCTCCCATTAGATATCAGCAATTTGAAGGTTGTAAGGCATTTAGATATATCGGGAAATCAACTGTCAGGCGAAATCCCGTCTAGCATTGGGGAACTCAAAGATCTAGCTTACCTCTCTTTGTCCAATAATAGATTGCAGGGGCCTATTTCTCAATCATTTGGTGGCATGGTGAGTTTGGAATTCTTGGATTTATCACGGAATAATCTCTCAGGAGAAATTCCCAAGGACATGGAGAAACTTTCATATCTTAAATATTTTAATGTGTCTTTCAATGGACTTCAAGGGGAAATACCTGGTGGAGGCCCATTTCAAAACTTCTCAGCTCGATCATATTTGGGGAATGAAGCATTGTGTGGTTCACCTCAGATGCAAGTCCAACCATGCAAGACTAGTGGTCGTCAGCAATCGAAGAAAGCAAGTGCAATTGTATTTGAGTATATTTTACCAGCAATTGGAGCTACAATATTGGCTATGGCCTTCACTGTCATCTGCATAGTGCGTCGCAAAAGGAATGAGAAGAAAACACAAGGACATCTTCCAGATTTGGCAACATGGAAAAGAGTTTCATTTCAAGAGCTTGAGAGAGCAACTGATGGATTTGATGAAATCAACCTGCTAGGTACAGGGAGCTTTGGCTCAGTTTACAAAGGGTTCTTGTCAAATGGAGTGAACATTGCTGTAAAGGTTTTTCATCTGCATCTGGAAGAAGCTTTCAAGAGTTTTGATGTTGAGTGTGAGGTATTGCGCAACATTCGCCATCGAAATCTTGTAAAAATCATCACAAGTTGCTGCAACATTGACTATAAAGCTTTGGTGCTTGAGTTCATGCCTAATTGGAGCCTTGAAAAGTGGCTGTATTCCCACAACTATTTCTTGGATCTCCTACAGAGGTTGAACATTATGATTGATGTTGCATCAGCACTTGAATACCTTCATCATGGCCATCCAACACTTGTTATAGCCCACTGTGATTTAAAGCCTTGCAATGTCCTGCTTGATGAGGATATGGTTGCTCATGTGAGCGATTTTGGCATTGCTAAACTCCTCGGCGAAGGGCACTCCATCACACGAACAATGACACTAGCTACTGTTGGTTACATGGCACCAGGTAATGTTCCCAATTTATTGTTCTGTCAAAATTTACAAAAATCAATGCAGCTTGCTTTCTGTCTCTACGCATTTTTTACCCTAAAATCATACATTCATCTGCTTGCTAATTCCCTTCATCATTCATATTTTTAAATACTTGTAGAGTTTGGATCAGAAGGGATTGTTTCTATCAAAGGTGATGTGTACAGCTATGGTATTCTGCTGATGGAAACTTTTACGAGAAGAAAGCCCACAGATGAAATGTTTACCGCAGAAATGAACTTGAAACGTTGGGTCAAAGAGTCGTTACCTGGTGCAGTTACTCAAGTTGCAGATGCTAACTTGCTAAGGAGATACGAACAAGCTTTTGCTGCTAAAAACGATTGTCTATCATCCATTTTCGCATTGGCCCTGCAATGTGCTGCAGAACAACCTGAGGAGAGAACAGATATAAAAGATGTTCTCACCACTCTGGAAAAGATCAAAGTAAAGTTCCTAAAGGATGTTGAGAGGGATTGTAACTTCATGTAATTTAGTTAACTTTTAAGAGTGTGTTTCTTTTAAAACTCTGCACTAAGTTTCTTGTGAATCTTAATACTTGCAGTAAATGTTAACAACAGCACCTTAGTAATGTGATTACCAAATAATAATAATAAAAATTCATCAGAAATGCTAGAGAGAAAAATGTACAACAATCATTTCCACTCTATTTTATTTCTTCCATTTCTACAACTTCTCATCATAGTTACTATTGCAATATTATTAATCTTCAAATCTGTACATTCTTCTACCATTTCTTTATCTTAAGAAATTGTCTAATCCACCTACTGCATCGCGTACTCCTCCAAAGTAAAACGTAACCAATGACGACTCCCTCAAGCATTCCTGCACCATATCCAACCAATGCAAATCTCCAACTAAATGGAATACCCTTTTTTCCTGAGTCCTCTTGATGAGTTCCTGTTGGATGGTTCTGAAGCTCACCACATTTCTTTGACAATGGAAATCCACATAGTCCCAAGTTGCCACCATAGGAATCATTATTGAACGTTAAAAATTGATTGGCTACCGGTATTCTCCCAACCAATCCATTGTCTGAAAGGTTGAGCACAGAGAGGAATGTCAAGTCTGTTAGTTGCATTGGTATCTCACCTCTAAGCTTGTTTTGTGAGAGGTCTAATGACTCAAGTTGTGTCAATTTCGAGAGAGATGTTGGAATCTCACCCAGAAGATTGTTTCTAGACAAGTTGAGAACCTGTAGCAACTTGAGATCACCAATCACTTCAGGAATATCTCCTTCAAAACGATTGTTCGAGAGGTCCAGGGCCGTGAAAATGGTTAAGATTTTTATATTTTCCATTCTCTGGCCTTTGTTTGTTATTGTCATCCATTCCCTTTAGTAGAAGCCTCCAATGTACAACAATGATTCGTTCAACTTCATCTTCATTGACTTCCATATTGCAATGTAGTCCAACGGCAAAGATCCTGTGAAATAATTTGAGGAGAGATCGAGTATATGAAGCATCGGGAAGTCATTTGATGTCAATGGCTGACCAATGGAACCATATAATCTATTTGATTGCAGGATCAGAACTTGCAAGGCAGGAAGTTTTCCTAACCAAAAAGGGAATGTGCCATTAATCTGGTTGTCTCCGAGGTCTAAAACTTCAAGTCTTCTGCAATTTTCCAAAGATGCTGGTATTTCCCCTTTCAATTGATTCCTATACAAGTTAAGTGTCTTTAGACTGCATTCTTCAGTGAGATTCCAAAGCATGGACCCAAAAAACTGGTTCTCCCTTGCATTTATTACTGTGAGAGTGGAACTGAGGCTCCCAAGACATTGTGGGATTTGACCAGTCATGTAGTTATAGGAAATGTCCAGGATTGCTAAACTACTCATGTTGCAAAATGATACAGGAAGCTCTCCAGTGAACTTGTTATTAGAAAGTGAAAGGAGGTTTATAGAGGATGGAAACATGGGGAATGACCCTTCTAAGTAGTTGAAACTAAGATCAAGGAAGGCCAAAGAACTGAATAGAGGAGCAGGAACTGGTGTTTCAATCCTAGTCAAAAAGTTGTTGGACAAATTCAAGTAAGACAAGCTTTCTAATTGCCAAATCCATTCGGGGAGTGTGCCATGGATTTTGTTGTTTGAAAGGTCTAGCTCAACTAATCCATCTTGGTTTCGCAGGAAACTTGGGATTTTGCTAACATTGCAGGAACCAAACCACAATCTTTGAAGTTGAGGTAGATTTAAGTTGTCTGAATAATCAATAGTCAGTTGGCTATTGTCAGACAACTGAAGGAATGTAAGGCTCTCAGTGCTCTTGAACATGCTTACATTGATGGCACCGCTGAAGTTGTTTGATAAAAGCTTGAATTCAGTAAGATTCTGAAGTTCAAGGAGTGAATCAGGGATATGCCCTTCCAAATTGTTGAAGCTTAGATCAACAACGCTTATTGGCGACAAAGATGCTCGGTCAAAATCTTGTATCACTCCACTAAGCCTGTTTTGACTTAACAGCAATCTCTCCAAGGAAGGAAGCTCGAAAAGTGAGGAGTTTAATGTCGCCTCCATTGAATTGCTCTCAATAGAAAGAGAGCCTAGATTTGCCAGCCCAATACGGTTTGTTGTCTGAATTATCCTCGAGCCTTTCTTTAATGGTGGTAGGAATGGAATCCATCCTTGAAACCTGTTGTTGGAGAGATCCAAATCAACAAGTTGGGTTAGGCTTGCAAGAGAAGAAGGTATCAATCCAGAGAAACTGCAATTCCTCACGCCCAATTTAGTCAAAGATTGAAGATTTCCAATTGAACATGGGATTTCTCCAGAGAAACTTGTGAAGGACAGAGATAGAACTTCTAACTTGCAGCCTATAGGAAATTCTGGCAAAGTCCCAGAAAGAGGTGTATTTGCCCATAAAGCAAGAGTCTTCAGGTTTGGCAGTAGCATGATACTCTTTGGAAACATTGAAGAGAGATTATTGCCACTAAGGTCAAGCTTTGAAAGCAATGATAGTTGATTCAGTGATTCACAGATGGGACCTGAGAGGTGACAATATGACAAGCTCAGAACTTGGAGATTAGGGGTTGCAAGAGTCAAGGCAATGCACCATTCATCACCACCAGCCGATATATTAACACCATCAAGATGAAGTTCCCTTAAGCTGCTTAGATCTTTCACAAGCCTTTCAAAACCCGGGTTCTCAAGTTTCGAAGAATCCAAAAGAGAAGTGGAGAGATCAAGAGAAACCAATTTGGTCAGCCGTGATATGTCCAAAGGTACTTGGCCTGAAAAACCTGAATTTGAAAAGTTGAGATGTGTCAAGCTGGAAATCAGATCAAGCCTGGAGGGAAATGGAGTCGACTGAAACTTATTGTTGGCAAGATTGAGTTTTTCAAGGAAAGGGAGATGAAGAAAGTTGGTTGAATTAAAAGTGCCAGAAAGTTTGTGGCTGCTGAGGTCAAGGCTAATCACATGTCCTGAGACATCATGACAAGTGACACCTTCCCAGGAGCAACAATTACTGTGAGGCTTCCATGAAGGAAGCAAAGAAACTGAGGAAGGCTGTTGAGTAAAAGAAGATTCTGGTTTAGCTGTTGACAAATCCCTTTTGAGTTGGAGCAAGGCTGTTCTTTCATTGTCAATGCAATGTTGGCCTGAAATAGAATGAGAAGAAGATTTTGATGGCAATGAAGTAGAATTTGTGGGCGATGAGACACAGAAGAATACAAAGCAAAGCACAATTTTGCAGTGATTCATCATTTTAGGAGATATAGAGAGTTGGTATCTTGTTGTGGTGATTGATGGTCATTGAATTTATAAATTCCTGAGTCAGCATGCATGTTGTACAGAGCCATTGCAATGTTCTTGTCAGGACTCAGGAAATTAGCACCCAATTTCATAAAAACTTACAAGTTCTATTCCAATAATTCCAACAAACGTTTGAAAACATCAAATAGGAACTTCTACATGTGCTGCAATCGTAAGAATTGTGAGGTCACAAGGTAGACTAGAAAGGAGTCACTGGTACAACGTTGGATGCACAGGTTCCTAGAAACTTCAAATTATGTCATCTACTGCCTAGTCGTATGTGGTAAAGATTCCTCACCAGTCAAATTTTAAGAAAAAAATAGTGTAATTTGACTTCTTTTTTCCTCTCGGATTCCTCAACTCAAGTACATAGGTGAGGAAAAGTGCAAGAACTTTTCTAAGCCCAAAGGTTGAAGCAACAATTATAAAATTGTTGATTTCTTGATCGTACATATATTTATCATTCATATGGAAACTTTTTTTTTTTTTTTTTGGATACGTTTTAAGGACACTTCTTAACACATTTACTGTAGATGTATTATTTCTTTATACGTCATGCATGACGATTGGTGTGTGGAAATCAAAAGCAAGTCAAGGAATTAGATTGATAAAATCTTTCCTTTGATTCTTATGTTTCTTTAAGCATTAGTCATTAAGTAAGCTTCTTCGTTGCTGTTTCCTTCCAAGCATGACCCAATGTAGGATCCTGGAGTCAATGACAGTAAATATAAAAAGCAGCAAGTCAATATTTACCACAGGTTTTGGTGACTTCTTGGCATAAGAAAAATTTCACCAATTTGAAGAGAGAGTGAGAAATTTTGGATCGCTTCCTTGGTTTGCTTTACACTGGCTTCACTTTAAGGAGTGTCCAATAAATAATAATTATAAAAAAAGGTGTTGTTATGAAAGTATGGTTAAGATTTGTTGTTGTTACTTGAAAGCATATCTTCTTAGGTTTAAAACTTCAAAAAAGTAGGATAGAAACTTAGGAATTGAAAACAATAATCCTATAATGTAATTAATTAAATAAACTAAAAAAAAACCTCGGTTTATTGTTCCAAATATTGTTTATACACTCACAATTCACTATTCATTGGTTTTTTATACTTTGGTCCTTGATCTTTGTTAATTAATCTTTCGGTCCACATCTTCATTTGCTCATCCATTTTGGTCTCTGGACGAGAGAGAAGGGAGGAGGGAAGAGAAAGACGGAAGGAGAGAGAAAATCATCGACCAAGCTTATTTAGACTCCTTTGGCCGGCTAAAATCCATTAGATTTGTTTATATTTAAAAGATGAGTTTGTATATGATTGTTTCAAGCTATTAAACCATTAGATGAGGTAGATCGGACCAAAAAAAGGAAACAAAGTTTTGATTTGATTGTGTAATTTGTTTTTGTTTTTCTATGCATTAAAATGATTTTGAAGATTTTAAATATGTTTATTGGCTTTATTTCGGTCATTTAAAGATGTTTGGGGAAAAAATGATGGCGAATTCAATTTCTAGGGATTTGAGACTTGAACCTCGACTTTCGACGAAGATTCCGACGACTTTGATCGTCGGAAGTTGCGGTCTTCTTCTTCTTCTTCTTCTTTCTTCTTTTTTTCTTTTCTTTTTTTTTTCTTTTTTAGAGCAACCTAGGCCTAACTCGCGGTGCCCGACGCGTAGGCTTGGCTGTTTTTTTTTTTTTTTTCCCTTCCATTTCGGCTTAGGAAATTCTTATTTATTTTGGTCCCTTCATTCTTTTTTTTTTTTTTTTATAATTTTGGTCATTCATCTTTTCCGATATTTGATTTTTATCACTATCAAAAATATTAAAATTTTATTATATGTGATTTTAATCCTTATAATTAAATTTTTTTTAACTTTTAGTAAAAATTTATGTTTTTTTATTTTTTTAATATGTTTTTATTTTAGTTATGAAAATTTTCTCATATTTAATTTTTATCTTTACTATGCTAAAACTAAATAAAATTTACTATCCTAAGGTTTTTTTTTTTTACCGAAATTTTCTTTCTGTTCTAATTTCTATTTTGTTATTTTTTCTTTCTTTTCGTCATTAAATTTAGTAAAAAAATTTTTTAGTCTTTGTTTTGTAATTGTTTTTTTATATATAATTAAAATTTTTTCTTACAAGGAACTATTTTTTACTTTTAATAAAACTTTTTGTTATATTTTGGTTTTTGTTTTATGATCTTTCATTTATTTTGATCATTAAACTTTTATTATATTTAATTATTAATCATTTTACATTAAAATTAAATATAGTTTAACTATCCTAAGTTTTTTTTTTAGTGAAATTTTTTTTGTTTTGATTCTTATGTTATTAATTTTTTTATTTTAGTCATTAAAATTCTATAATGTTTACTTTTGTTCTTGCCTTATGCATAATGAAATTTTTTTAGTCTTATTATTTATAAGTATTTTTTGTATGCTTTTAGTGAAAGTTTTTTTTTTTTATCATTTTATAATCTTTACTTTGTTTTAATCATTTAATTTTTATCATGTGTAATTTTATCTCTATTTTCTTTGCCAAGTTCTCGATTTGACAGAGCTTTTTTATCTTTTTGTTTTGAGTGGTTTCTCTGTCTCATTAATAAATTACGGATGAATAATATATGGTAAAAATTAATCATCGAAAATTAAAAAAACTACCACATTATTATTTTAATTATCAGCTATTAATAAAATACATGTTTATATAAAAAAATATCTAATTAGTAATATTATATTACTCAACTTTACTGATTTTTCATTAGCTAACCCTATAGCAAATCATGAAATATATGTTTTAGTTTTTTAAAAAAATTATTTTCGCATGATATTGTCAAATAATAATTTATAAATGTTAAATTTTATATTAATGAATGCATAAGAATGATATATAATTCATCTCGTGGCAACACGCGAGATATATGCTAGTTACATGGTTAAATAAATTTATTAATTTTTTAAAATTTTTTAATTTAAATTTTGAGATGGATATTAGAGATAATTCAAATCTTAAAGTAATAAAAAATTATTAAATACTTCTTAATACGTCAGATTTATATAAAGTATACTTAATTTTATAATATCATTAAAAAAATTAATCTTAATTGATTTGTACATCAATTTAAAAATACTTCTTATTTTTAAATAAATAATTGATGTTAAGGATAGGAGATTCCTCTGCATTAAAGTAGTTCTTATTAGAGATATAATAAGAAATTCAGTAATTAATATTTTGATTTTCTATAATAAACAATAGTTTAGTGACCATGTCAATTTTTTTTTTAAAAAAAAACATAGGGAGTGTAAGAAATCTAATGGGTATCAGGAAGACAATATTTTCTTTTGTCCTCTTTTTTTTCCTTTCATAATTTGATAATGTCTTTTTTGAAATTAAAAAAAATCTAAAAAAAATATTTTAATTGGATTTTTTCGTTCATTACTGTCATAATCAAAAAATTAGGTTACATTTCGTTTTATGGTTTAGTTTAATAAAAAATTTAATATTATTTATTTATTATTAAAATTAAATTAAAATTAAAAAGAAAAAAAGGAAAGTAAAAAAAAAAAAAAGGGAATTGATCAATTTTGCTTTTAAGGATTCAATTGTGATTTATTTTAAAAGTATAATGGGTCAATTTATAAATATCAGAAAGGTAGGGAAACTATTGAAAGAAATTAAGAGGGGATTGGGAACAATTGAAACTAAAGGGACTCACATAATTGCCAAGGGTTCAATTGCAAGAAAATTGAAATGGGCAGGGACTGAATCGTAAGGAGTAAGTGGACGACAAGACAAATTTGACAATTCGGTCATGGACGACGTGTCGTTCGCTAGTTATATATATAAAAAAATCGAATCTGTGACTCTTCCTTGTTCACATCATGAATGTTGTTGAAAATAAGAAAAAAGAAAAAAAATTATATATATGGAGTTGCAGATAGCAGGATATATTCGTACTTATTAATTTTGGTATCAAACAAGATTAAATCCATCATTTCCTAAATCATATTTTTTAAATCAAATTAATTCAAATCTGATACCACTAAAAAAATAATGATAATTAACTATTTATGAGTAATAAAAATTGAATTTGAATCTTATCAAACCAAAACAATTCTCATACCACTAGACTTTATCTCTTGATGGTAAAAAAGAAAAAAGAATACTTTTATTTTTATTATTAATAAGTGAATCAATCACTCTGATATTATTTCAAGAGGAATTTGTTTTGTTTAATTAATTTTCAACAGGGTGAAAGTGATTATGATTAGTAGGAGGAAGTCCAAGTTATAGCAAGTCTAGTAGCCCAACTACCAGGCAAATGCCAAGTCCAAGTGATACATAAATGAGGCACCTAGGGTCAGGTACTCAGGGCCGATATTTAAAGACTTTAAAAGTCCATTCTAAACATAAACAGCCCTGCTCAGGCCTCAGCCCCAAAATGTTATTGTTCTTTTTGTGGTTGTCTGGTGAAACAATTTATCATTTACGTATCTAGTTGGTCTACAATGTAGTGTTAGAATATATCTCACATTGAATAATTAAATCAATAATAAATAATATATAAAATTGAGAAGATGCCACTCACCATAAGACTTAAGTCTTTTGGATGAACTCAATTTCAACTATCTAACTCTAATATGGTATCGTAGCCTCAAAGAGGCCCAACGACTCAACAAAGATTCTGAGCTCAAGCCACTCGACGTACCCCAAAAAGATGGGCTGCAAGTAAGAGGAATGTTAGAACATATCGCACGTTGAATAATTAAACTAATAATAAATAATATATAAAATTGAGAATGGGTCATCCATCATAAGACTTTAAGTCTTTTGGATAGACCCAATCTTAACTATCTAACTCTAATATGTAGTGTATTTTGAATAAACATAAACTGATGATGGTTGCTTTGGTGTGTCTCAAGTTTTATCAAGGAAATGTTTTGGTAACCAGACTTTTTGGCCAGTGGCAAAACGCAGAAGAATGCTTTAGCTAGAGATATTTAAGTACATTGTTTCTCTTGATGGATTTTATGAAGTCAAATGAAGCTGAAGTTAAAGCCATCAGAAAGCGTTTCAAGTGGCAAATGATTCTGTTGGACAAAATCTACTTCGAGACCCTGATATTATTGCCATTACAAATGGAAGTTAGATTAACGTTAATGCTGAGTGACTCCTTTATTAAATGTTAAATAAGTTCAGTCAAAACATCTAGGACCTACAAAAAGAAAAACGCAGAGCCCGCTTTGGCGTTCCCATTAAGGATGATGACGGACCAGAAAGGACATTGAGGAAAACAACATATTGTATGGTTATATGTACTTCTCAAAAAAAGCAAGACAACGCGTCAAGGGAAAAAAAAAAAAGACGAAAGATCATCAATTTCTTCAAGGAACTACACTTGTTGGCATTGACCTAGTGTAAACCTCAGGACTTTGGGGGTATCCAGTAATCATCAATTTGTGTGCATTTTTCTTGTTTTCTCATGGAGTTTGGAATTATTAGGGTATCTATCTCTCAAATGGGAGCTAAGACAAGGATAAATAAGGGCAACATTTGCACTAGAAATGATATTGCTCAGGATGGGATTAAGCTTATTCTACATCCAAATTTTGTTTCTCTTATGTTCTACTGTACTAAATTTCACCACTTTCGACATTGCAAGTGTCTCAGCCACCACCTTTAGTAATTTCACAGACAGGCTGGCCCTGCTTGACTTCAAGTCCAAGATAATTCATGATCCTCAAAACATGTTTAGCTCATGGAACGATTCTCTCCATTTTTGCCAGTGGCAGGGCGTTAAGTGCGGCCGCAGACATGAGAGAGTAACTGTCTTAAAGTTAGGGTCCAGTGGCTTGGTGGGTTCTTTATCACCTGCGTTGGGAAATCTCAGCTTCTTATGGGGACTTGATCTTTCCAACAACACCCTTCAAGGTAAAATCCCTGATGAACTCGGTAGTCTCTTCAGGTTGCAGATTCTTGTCCTAAACAATAATTCTTTTGTTGGGGAGATACCAGGCAACCTGTCATATTGCTCTAAGCTTTTTTATTTTGGTTTGGCTTCAAACAACCTGGAAGGAAACATTCCTGCAGGGCTTGTGTCATTGTCCAATCTAAAGGAACTTGTTATTCACTGGAACAATTTATCAGGAGCATTACCTCCTTTTCTTGGAAATCTTACCTCTCTTGATAGCATATCAATAGCTGGCAATAATTTCCATGGAAGGATTCCAGACTCCTTAGGTCAACTAAAAAACTTAGAATCTCTTGGACTTGGTACAAACTATCTTTCAGGTACTGTCCCACTATCCATCTATAATTTGACTTCCCTTAGCATTTTATCCTTGTCTGAAAATCAACTTGAAGGAAATCTTCCATCAGATATAGGCCTCTCTCTGCCAAACCTACAATATATCCAAATTCGAGCCAACCAATTTTCTGGACCAATTCCATTGTCAATATCCAATTCTTCAAATCTGCAGGTTTTAGAAGCTGAAAAAAACGACTTCTCTGGAAAATTGTCAGTAAATTTTGGAGGCCTAAAGTATCTGGCTGTAGTTTCTTTGAGCTTCAACAAGATGGGAAGTGGGGAGCCTGATGAATTCTGTTTTCTTGATTCACTGATCAATTGCACCAGTTTGTATGCTATTGCTCTAGTTGGTAATCATTTTGAAGGGATGTTGCCTAATTCTTTAGGCAATCTATCAACTGGACTTACCTTTCTAGGTTTGGGACAAAATCAACTATTTGGAGGCATTCCTTTAGGGATAGATAATCTTGTCAACTTAAACACTCTAGGTCTGGAATTTAACCAGTTTACTGGTCCCATACCTTTTGATATCGGCAAGCTTAGAAAGTTGCAGAGATTTTCTCTATCTCACAACAAGCTCTCAGGGAAAATCCCTTCCTCCATAGGAAACTTAACTTTGTTGCTTGAATTTGACTTGCAAAGCAATCAATTGCAGGGAAGCATACCTTCAAGTATTGGCAATTGTCAAAAATTGTTGGTGTTATATCTTTCTAGAAATCACCTTAGTGGCACTGTTCCTAAAGAACTTTTAACCATTTCAGCTCTATCAATTTCACTAGACCTATCTCAAAACTATTTCGGTGGATCCTTACCTCCAGAAATTGGTAGTCTGAAAAGCTTAGTGGAGTTGAATGTTTCTTATAATGAGTTTTCTGGTGAAATTCCAAGTACCCTTGCTAGCTGCACAAGCCTTGAATATCTATACATGCAACATAACTTCTTCCAAGGATCCATTCCATCATCATTGAGTACATTCAGAGGTGTTCAAAAGCTTGATCTGTCTCATAACAATCTGTCCGGCCAAATACAGAAGTTCTTGGAGACCTTTGCCTTGTTGACTTTGAACTTATCGTTCAATGATTTCGAAGGTGAGGTTCCAACAAAAGGAGCTTTTGGAAATGCTACTGCAATATCAGTTGATGGAAATAAGAAGCTTTGTGGAGGCATATCTGAACTTAAGTTGCCTAAATGCACCTTAAAAAAGTCCAAGAAAAGGAAAATATCTCTTTGGCTCATATTGCTAATATCAATAGCATTTGGTATTTTTGGAGTAGCTGCTGTGTCATTCGTTCTGCTTTACCTGTCGAAAAGGAAAAGAAAGGAGCAATCTTCAGAATTGTCATTGAAGGAGCCACTGCCAAAAGTTTCTTATGAAATGCTTCTTAAAGCAACTAATGGGTTCTCTTCGGATAACTTAATTGGTGAGGGTGGCTTTGGTTCTGTGTACAAAGGAATCCTTGATCAAGATGATACAGTGGTTGCAATAAAGGTACTTGACCTTCATACTCAAGGAGCTTCCAAGAGTTTCGTGGCTGAGTGTGAAGCATTAAGAAATGTTCGCCACCGAAACCTAGTAAAGATCATAACTTCTTGCTCAAGTACTGATTTTCAAGGAAATGAGTTTAAGGCTCTAGTTTATGAGTTCTTGTCCAATGGAAATCTGGAGATGTGGTTGCATCGAAAGTCAGAAATAGATAGTCATCAGGATGAACCTCAACATCTTGATCTCCTTCAAAGAATAAACATTGGCATTGATGTGGCTTCTGCACTTGATTACCTTCATAGCCACTCCCACAAGTCCATCATTCATTGTGATCTAAAGCCAAGCAACATTCTTCTTGACAGCGACATGACTGCCCATGTTGGAGATTTTGGTCTTGCAAGACTTAGTCCTGAACTCACAAACTTTGGTCAAAGCAGCTCTATTGGATTAAAGGGAACTATAGGATATGCTCCTCCAGGTAAAACGAAACTGTTTGAAAGCAGTAGGTACTTCCTACAAGATTAGCTAGGAAAAAGAAATTAGCGACGATCACTTTTGCATTTTACTAATGTAGAATTTGTGAATGCAGAGTACGGCCTTGGAAGTCAGGTGTCAATGTATGGAGATATTTACAGCTATGGGATCCTGTTGTTGGAGATGATCACAGGGAAGAGGCCCACTGACAACATATTTCAGGGAGCTCTTAATCTCCATAAATTTGCAAAGATGGCTTTGTCTGAACAGGTTTTGAATATTGTGGATCCATCACTTCTATCTCCTGAAGAAGCAAATAACAAGGCTGACAAGATGAGCACTAAGAATCCAGCAAATCCAAGAAGCAGCAGCAGTGAAACTGGAGCTCTTGTGGAATGTGTGACTTCCTTACTCAGAATTGGAGTATCATGTTCGATGGAGTTACCTCAAGATCGGATGGAAATTAGTCATGTCATCAGGGAATTAGGTGCCATCAGGAAAATTCTTCAGTGAATTTTCTGTTTTTCAAGAAATATTGCTATACATGATTTAGAATGTCACAAATCAATATGATTGAATTACTAGCTGATTTGGATTCCTAGTGTAAATAAATAAGAATAGGCAACGACTATTGCTTCTTGTTATTGAAGGTATAAAAAATTGTTCTGACAGGTTTATCTTAGCCAGGATGTTGATATTCTATTATGTTAATATAAATCTCATCACTGGAGCCAATCGGCCTTTCCTTTTTTTTTTTTTTTTTTTGTAGCACTAGAACAAGATGAGCCGGATGCAATGTTCAAATCATCTCATCTGTTTTTGGCGTGTGCTAAGTTCAAATAGAGGAAATGTTTTGGCTACAGAACTATTAGGCCACTGGCAAAATGTAGAAGAAAGCTTGGAAATCATTGTGGAAATCTAAGTTGTACAAAGTTCTGTAAATAAATCAAACAAAGCATCAAATAGATTCATCGACGTAGAGTAAATTAAAATCCATAATAATTACAGACATCATCTGCTTCAATTCAGGATCCTTGATCATCATCCTATAACTGAGCTTGAAGTTTTTCAACTAGACTTGTCCACCTGGGAAGCCTTGTCTAGAATATCATTAGGAATGCTTGGAGTAGATCCAAATAAAGCATTAGAAACAATGACAACACCAGGATTCTGGCTGCTTAAGGAAGAAATTGAGGCAGCAGTTCCATGACCAACATTCTCTGGAAGTGAACAAGTCCAGTAGGAAACACAAACACATCACCCTTTTCAGGGACTTTAGTAATGAGCCTGTTTTCCGCATTTGAAGTCGCAAAGCCAACAAGCAGTCTGCCTTCTAAGACAGTAAGAATTTCAGTAGCACCATGGTGCAAAGTCAATGCGAACCATTGAGATTCCAAGGGTGTTCCCTGGAATACGCAGGCCACTAAAAGGAAAATGGTTGGCTGGTACCACCTTCGAGTGCAAGCAAGCTAGACCATTAACTCTTGCTGCCATATACCAAAACCAAACTATGTAAGAAACAAAAACATAGCATGTCATCTACTAATCGGAGAGTTGTTCAGTAAACTTGGCTGTCTGAGTTTTGTGCTTGTATAAATCCAAGCTTTTATGAAAAGGGAAACTGATGCTGGATTACTGGTCACTGAGTAGTCTTTTAGACGCAGGCTGTTTACTGCAAAAGGATATGGTCTGATATGGTCAAACCATGTCATATGTTGCTGGTATTAGTTTCATTAGTAACCCTTTCAAGTTTTCCTAACTGGATAGGCCACCATAGCTGGCATTTACACTTGAATTGATAAACAATTAGATCAAGCACATGATTTCTTCTTCCTTGGTTCAATTCATCACATTTGGACTCTGCACTGAATAATTGTTTGTAACTGTAGAGAAACAAGTGCAAAATGATTTGACAGACTTGAGGTCTACCTCAACTCCCCACAAAATACAGCGACTTAGATATGATGGTTAATTAATGATGTCATTTTGTGTCTCAAATTCTTCCACTGTGTCAAAAACGTTGTATCCTAGGTTGAGTGAGAGGATTCCATTAGTTTGCAGTCTTCGCCAACTTACATAAACGGTAGAAATTTTAGTTTCCTTCTACAAAGGAAGAAATCTTGATCCTTATATTAGAACAAGACAAGAAAACACGAGGCATAATAATCTCATCTTCCAGCACAGTATATAATTGCATTATTCAAGCTTAGCACTTACAAGTCCATCAATTGAACCAGTTAAGCCAGCTACTGTTACAAGTAAGCAAACAAAGCTAATTGTTCCAAGGACAATCCATTTTCTTGTCCAGGCAACTATTTTCTTCAGGTCAAAGTTCATTTCCACAGGAAAATAGATAGACAAAGGCCAAAAGTTCGAGGCCCCAATCACTCCCAAAATTTGGTTGACGTAAGGGAGGACCATTGCAATGGCAGTAGTTGATACAATGTATGCAGTTCAGAAACATAGCTTGAAGAGATTGATTTTGAGATGATGAAACAAGGGCAGTTTCAAGGTGTGAAAGTTATTCACAAAAGCACTGCTTGGAAATTTCCTACCGAACCATCTTTCCACAAATGCAAATACAGGCTGACTAAATACCTGAAGCAGAACACATGGAGATAAATAAACGATGACCAAATTAATGAACACATGAAGATAAATAAACGATGACCAAATTAATAAATTTTATAAAGAATATATAGATTCATCAAATTTTCGGGGTTAGTTCTATGCCATCCGAAAAGCATTATGATGATATGATCAGAGTCAGAAATTTTGATATTAGTCCTTTTCCTTCATGATTGTAAAATAATTAATTTTTTTGCAACAGAAAAATGAGATGTACAAAAAAGTTGCAAATATTATTTTACTGCTGCATTATTTTGGAAAAGAATGATCTCTGCTGTTGGAAAGGTAAAGAAACTGAACATCTGAGGCATAAACAAACCATGGCAAGGAAAAGAATTAGGGATTTTCAAATGCAAGATCAGTACCTGATATCCTCCCACCAAATTAAGAACAGCGCAAATATTTGCGATAACAATGAGCCAAAAGGGCTCTAAGAACCCAAACCCTGTCAAGAGATTTCTAGGTGTATCGTTTCCGAAGGCTGCATATCCGAACCATCCACAACAGAGGTAAAAGAAAGTTGTGATAATGACTGCAATCATTGAGACCTTCTTGATGGCCTTGTTCTCTGGTGGAGGTGACTTCAAAGTATCCTTCATGCAAAAAATTCTTTATTCACTTCAGCCTCCAAAATTTGTTATTATCTTCTAGTGCAGAAAATATGTTGCTGCAACGAAATTGAATTTTCAAAAGTAGAATCCAAACCTGTATGTCAAGCAGAATTATCGAGTATGGATAGGCAAAAGCAATGTCCCCTAGTGGTTCAAAGGCTATCCATACCTTTTTGGCAGTAGTGGCAGCTCCAGTAATGCTCCCCTTAAACCTCCCATTTTCTGCAATTACACAAGTAAAGTTTAAAGGTTAAGTAGCTATTTCTCTCAATGGACGATCTGCGGTTGTCTTACATATTATGTCTGGTTGACAGATTAAATTTGAACTGTGATTCAAGGCTATAAGCAGGAAGGAAGAACTGGCCAAATTAGCAGGAATACCTATTAGTTGTGCAACACCAAGTCCAAATCCGAGACAAGTTTCGTGTGAAGGGAAGTTGATGGTGTTACGAGACAAGTTCAAAGGTGAAGGGAAGATGTTGAACTACCAAGATTTACTCTAACAGCATCAATGTAAGATTAGTTTGTTGTTCCGGTCACAGAGTCAGGGTACCTATAGCAATCAGAAAGAAGGGAAGCAGAAACCTAGGTGACGATCGCAAAGCAGAGCAAGGACAATGTCCCTGCTATCCATCCTAGCTGTGCTGTACTCCAAGCCAAGGACAGAACTCCGGAGCCGATAACAGCAGTAACAATATGAGCAATGCAACTCCATAAGCTTCCTGGTTGAATTGCAAAAAAATTCAGTGAACTTTAAATATATAACTGGTCCATGGAAATTTCTTTACCAGTGCTTGATGGATGTCCATCATCATCACAGGAACCATTTGTCAGTTCAAGAGCATGGTTGGCTGGCATGATTATTCAAGGAAATTATGGTCACTAGATGTTTTCTACAGCCTATCTAGATAACCAAAATAAAGGGCCTAATTACTCTTAACTATTTCAGAGCAGTACATGTCAACTAGATACATGAATGAATCCAGCAGATACACTTGAAAGTATTAATTTATGGCTCTTCAATGATCAAGCCTTGTGACTTTGTGATCTAAAATGAAATTTACACTCAACATGTTACATAAAACAGGAAAAACAAATTAGTTTTAAGGGATAATCAAAGTCAAAAGACTTCCAAATCACTTTAGAATTCCAATAAATATACTCCATAAAAGGACAAATCTGATTAGAGAAGGATAATTGTTCTTACAGCTTCATTAGATGTAAAATTTATTTTTTTGCGAAATCAGTTGCAAAATGACAAAGTTTCTACCTATAGCAGTACATTAACTTACTTCACATACAAGATTCCTTGAGATTAAGCTACATTGACTTTAGATGAAGTTTTCATAATTGTTAGAGATTATTTCATTAAATGGTTAGAGATTACTCATCGATAGTCCATTGGCACAGACAATATTATGACAAAAACATTTTCTAATTAGCTTAATTTAGTATTTATAATTACATATTGTTTGATACTATGTAATAGATTATATAATGTAATGATTCATTAGTTAATGGTTAGAGATTACTCATCCAGACTGAGAAATAATTTTCTTCATAATTTTTTTCTTCACATTTGAACTATGACATATATAATTTCACATTTTATTCATTTCAAAGGGTCATGTAAAAGAAATCTTTATCACATGCTTATTTCACATCAAATATAAAATGATTATTGAATGAGTCTTGACTTTATGTATTTACATTGCTAAATGATTTAGCAATTGGAAGCATGTTGAACATCAAAGAAATAACATTTATCAATTTAATTATTTATTAAATGCATTATTATTATTTTTTAATCAAAAACTCTAGTTGAAATATGGGAGGGAATTAAAAGTATATTTTAGTTAGGATGTTATATATGAAAATTTTGAATTGGATTGCATTAGCATTGTTAGCAATTAGTAATTTACATCATAACTTGCTTGTCATCAATATGATTATTACTATTAAAATAATAGGGAATAAAACTATACCTTTAAATATCCATTGTAACTTTAGATTTAGTTGAATCAGTTTAAATAGTTTATCGAGTGGAATCCATGATCCATCAATCTAATATTGTTTTAAACTCTAAATAATAAAATTGTTGTTTATTTACATGATTTGGAAGAAAATCGAGTGATCTACTAGAAATACCTGCAAAATTTTTTCTAATCTTATGACAAAAAAAAAAAAAGTTTGTCAACTAAATTGGCACTAATTAATCGATTTAATAACCTAAATTGATACTAATAAATAATAACACTTAATTAGATTGTATCCTTTATTGAAACTTGGAGAGAGCCACTAAGTTGTTTTTTGGTAATTTTGTTTTATAATACATGGATTATCATTAAAAAATACTAAGTACAATCCATTTCATTCTACAAGGCTCTATTGTATTCTAACAAATTTATGCAAAATATACAACTTACAATATATTTCGAGCATACGTCCTTAATTAGAATATTCAATTGCCAGAAAAAAAAATGTAAAAAAATGGGTATTTGAACTTATTTATTATGTTTTAGCAAATAAATCTAAATGTTTAAAGAACAATACATTTTCTTTTACAATCAACTGTTTTACTATATATGCACAAAATACGTACATATCTAAAGGCCGAAAAAGTGTAGGGTTAAGTGCACCTGTAAATCGAAAGGAAGATAAAGCGTTAAGTTGTTAAAAAAGAAGAAGAAGATAACTTAAGTATGTGTATTGATGGGGCTAACCAAAAAATTATAGCTAGTGAAAATACTTCTTTATTTATAGAAAATGTTAAATTTAATGGTCAAATAAGTTTAGAAAATAAGCTAGACTAGTCAGGAATAAAATTCCTAATTTAATAGAATTTTCCTAAATAATAGTTATTCTAATAAAATTCAAGTCTTTAAGAAGAAATTGTTATTCGGATGTTGTTGCCGTACAACCAACTTATTCTCCTGCAATTGTGGTAAACTTAACTTGTACTTTTCTTCTTTAGTCCTCTGTATCATTTGAATGTTTGTATTTGATCCTTAAATTCCAAAAATTTATCAAATAAGCTCAATTACTAAAACCAATTAAAAAATATTTATTTTGAACGCCAAGAACAATCCATTATGATAGGCATAACAATGCCTCCTAGTACTTGCTTCAAAGACTAACCATAACTGTTCAGCAGTTTTGCCACTGGAACTCCAATAAGGCTCCCTTTTAATCCTACGGTCTTCAGCAATTACACAAATTTGAGAGACGATGCAAGCTGCCTCTCCAATAATCTAAATGTTTATGATCATCTAAATGTTCCAGTCATTAAAAAAATCACAAAAGCAACTTTCGCCATGATCCCAAAAGCAAGAATATTCACTGTTACCATGTATAGATAACATTTATTTTGATATAATTGCTGTATATTTGCTTATATTGTACAGCTATAATTAGAGGTAAATCAACCTATAATATTGTCAATAATCACTACTTAGATTGTACAGCTATATCTTGAGGCAAATTAGCTTATAATCACTATGTAATCATCTATTTATTGAAATGAAAGAGAAGAGAAAGGCATGCGGTATTCAACCAAAATTCTCTCTTGTTGTCAAGCTTTTCATGGTACCGGAGCCACTCATTTAAAAGTGTGAAATATTCTTTTCGAGAGGTTGTTCTTGCTTTGTTCAGTTCTTGGTATATCATCTCGGTGTTGCCTTTTGGATTTCATGTGCTATTTTTTAGTATTTTGTGGAAGCATTTTGGTTTTTTTTTTCTCTGTTTTAGTATTTCGTGTGGTCGCTTCGAAATTTCTTGTTTCTTTATGATTTGCTTTCATTTTTTTTTAATACTTTCGAATGGTCGGTGGCAAATCCGACTCCGAATTTTGTGTTAAGTTCACTAGAAAGAATTATGCAACATGGGAATTTCAATTCCAATTGTATGTTACTGGAAAGGAGTTGTGGGGACATATCGACGGGATCGTTCCAGCTCTAAAAGATGTTACTCAACCGGCTCAATGGAAAATTAAAGATGCTCGGGTGATGTCCTGGATTATAGGTTCTTGTGATTCTCAAATTGTTCTTAATTTGCACCCATATAAAACTGCTAAAGCTATGTGAGAATATCTAAAAAAGGTTTATTATCAAAGGAACTCGACTAGAAGATTTCAATTGGAGTGTGAGATTGCAAATTACACTCGGGGAAGTCGATCTATTCGGGAGTATTTTTTTGGTTTTCAAAATTTATGGATTGAATTTTCCGACATCGTTTGTGCTACTATGTCCCAAGATTCTCTCTCGATATATTGGTCGTTCATGAAGTTAGCAAGCGTGATCAATTTCGATGAAATTGAGATCGGATTTTGAGAATGCTCGCTCTAATCTAATGAATCGTCATCCTCCTCCTACTTTAGATGAGTGCTTTGGTGAATTAATTCATGAAGAACAACGGCTTTTTACACAAGCCCATCTTGAACATGAGAAGTTTACTACAACACCAATGGCTTTTGTGGCTCAATCAAGAGGCAAAGGTAGAGACATGAGCAAGGTTCAATGCTTTAGTTGTAAGAATTATGGTCATATACCCGCAAATTATACCCATAAATTTTATAATTACCGCAAAAGATCGGGGCACATCATCAAAGATTGTGGGATTCATCCTCAAAATCGCCAACACAATGCTTTTCAAGCCACTACAGCTGCTTTCCCTACATCAATAACCAATCGAATGCTCGAACCGACAGTCCTTACCCCTGCAATGGTTCAACAAATGATTCTTTCTCGCTTTTTCAGCTTTAGGGATTCAAGGTAATGATAATCCATCCTCTACAACTTGGTTGATTGATTCGCAGACATCAAATCATATGACTAGTTCGACTAATTTGCTGCAAAATGTCCGTCCATATCTTGGTTCCGAATATATTCGAGTTGCTAATGGAAATACTCTACCTATTATTGCTTGTTGGAGATATTCCTCCAGCTTTTGACAATGCTTTTATATCACCTCGGACTCTCTAATAATCTCCTTTCTCGTTGGACAACTAATGAAAAATAATTGTAATGTCTATTTTTCTCGTGATGGTTGTTATGTACGGGATCGAGTGTCGGGACAATTGATCACGATGGGGCCTAAAGTAGGATGTTTATTTCCATTACATGTCTTTATTCCGAGTAATGTTATTTCAGCTTGTTCTACTATTTTCAATAAGAGTGAAGTTGTAGCGTCCTTAACCTAATTCCTTATAAAAACTTTGTATAACTTAGCCAATTTAGTTCTAGAAAACTCAATTAATCACAAAATATCACTTAGGACCGTTAAAACCTCATATTAGAAAGATTAGGAAATTTTTTTTTTTGGGCGACGAGGTTACACGGCCTCTAACATGGTCATGTACTTGCCCGTGTAACTTAAAACTCATTTTCCCTTGAAAATAGAAGGTTACACGGCCTTCCACATGGGCGTGTACCTTCCCGTATACATTTTCGCCCAAAACAAAGGTTTTTCATCCATAACACTTCAAAACCTAATCAACAACATTCTTTCCACTTATAACCCTTGGATATTCAATCAAAACCACTTTTTCTTTGTTCATAAACACGTCTCAAAACACCTCCAGGAGTTCATATTTACATAGTTACATATACAATTCAAAAATCTCCTAGGATGCATATGCTCGGCATAATGAGAGAGAGGAGAGGGAGATCGCCAGCCGACTCGTCACTCATGACGTGAATTGAACAACAAAAGATGACTTTAACTTTCACTTCTTGCTTCTTAGTACCTAAAAAAATGATTGAATTTTTAATGAGATGCTACTCAATGAGAGAACAATAATCCATTGAAACCATAACATTTAATCACGTCATCCGAGTATCATCACATATAAACAATACAGG